CGTCTCCTCTGTAATAAGCTTTTTGTTTTCACTTCAGAACTAGCCCTTATGAGCTCCGTCTAACGTGAGGCGACTTCCACGCTAGCTGCTGACAGGGAGAGCACTGGCGGGTGGATTGGTGGAGTAACAGGTTAACCGTAGGATCCAGGTGTTGGGTGTATGGGTTCATTGTGAGGTTCTTTAAAATTTCCTGCTTGAAACTTTTCAGAAAAACCTGTTGGTGAAAAGGCTGCCTATCGGTAAAAACATGGTTTGTGAGCATAGTTAATTCCAGAAATATTCTTATAATCCAAAGCACTCGTGTATTGAAGTGAATCTTATGTGGACTCAGATGATTCGTTTCACGACCCCAAAATATTCATATAATATTATAATAAAGAAAATACAAAATATAAAGAAAAATTAAACCACATTTACCTTTGAAAAGCTTCCTGGCTGGTGTGAGGGAGATGAGAGGGGAGGACACCTTTCACTGTCACAGATGGAATCACTGCTACCCCCCCCGGCTCAATGGAATGCTTTTCTGTTAACAAGGAACCCATCTGATGATACTTGGTTTTGCCTCCTTTTGAGGATTTTGCAGAAATGTGACAATGTATTGTTAAACAGAGCCATCACTTACATTATTGCTACAGCCTTATTTGGGGCTGGTTTTCTACAAAATTGTGCACTGTTTACCACATCTTACACATCGCCCTACTCTCATTTGATGTGAGGGATTCCTCCCCCTTTTTCTCTGCTCTTTTGCAGATGAGATCCCTTCATAACCTCTGGCTGTTGAGAGGTGATCACCCGCAATCCTGGGTGGGGGGTGTTGGCTCAGTTGTGACCATGTGACATTTGGTGTCACGTACTACTTGTCTTGCAAGATACCACTAATTTATCACGTTAAAATTTATTAGAAATGTTTGATCATCTTGTGGAACATTAACACAACAAGTTACAATTGAAAGTTTTACTTTGTTTTAAAAACACATTTATGCGCAAGTCACACATTAAATCATAAACATTAAATTTTTAAGCTTCAATAATGTTTTTCTTCCTGGTATTCTCCTTTCCTTAGTTGACTCCTTCAAATCTGCGCTCATTCCTTGCTTCCTCCGGGAAATTTCCCTCCAAGTCCAGTCTGATCACGATACGTCTCCTTTGTGTCCCAGAGCACACTCCTTGAACACCTCTGCCATGTAATTCAGTACCCTCTGCCGTCATGGTGATGACTACTTGTTTGAACCACTAGACTTTGAATTTCTTTTTCTTTCTTTTTTTTTTTTTTTTTTTT